TCTTCCTTCACTCCTGTCTCTGAAAGAGGTGAGGAGGGCCCCAGGGGACTACGCAGGGATAAAGCAAGGGAACTGGGAGGGGTCAGGGTGGGAGGCGGCCAAAGCAGCTGGCTTCGGAGACAGAGCCATAGGACCTGGGAGGTAGGGGACTGCTGTTTAGAGATCCTTTTTCCCATGGCTGCCACAGGCCTCATCTCCCTCTGTAGGTGGTAAGTTTCCCAACCCTACACCTGCTCTTGGGTCAGCCTCGAGCTCCACATCATGCCACTGCTCTTCTGTGCTCTCGGAGAAACAATTCTAGGTCCCATACTGACGGTTTGTAAAGTCCTTCCCAGGAATATACAGGTCAAGCCACTCCTCTGCTTTAAAACCTCCCATGGCTCGCAGTGCCAGGGGGTTGAGCCCTACATCCTGAGTCTTGTGTTTGAGATGCTCTGCAGTCTGGCCCTGACCCCCTTTCATCCCATCCCCCGCTCCCCCTCTAGCGCCTGACCCCCTGTCCACTCCTCCAGGTTGTCTGCATGCTGCCTGGAATATCTTCCCGCTCTGCAGCCTGGAACACCACCCTGACCCTGAGACCCAGCGGGAATACTCCCTTGTCCAATACTCCCTGCTGCCTGCCCCCCACCCCACATGGAATCAGCTGCTGCTTCCTCAGCTTTTGGTGGATGGTCTGTTTACCCCAACCCCTGAAGCATCTGGATGAGGCCAGGGCTGAGTCCTCTCTGGTCCCCAACAGCCAGCCCAGAGGAGGTGCTAAAGAGATACAATCGCTAGCCTCAGCTTCACATTTTATAGGTGCAAGAACCAGCTAAAGGCCAGAAAAACCCTAGCATGGGGCTCCATCCTCATTACAGCCCTTTGGAGCTGTTGCTACCATTGTCCCCATTTTGTAGAGGAGGAAACAAGAGCCATAAAGAGGTGAACTGACTTGGCTGCAGTCACAGGGCTAGTGGGAGGTTGTGTAGCATTGTGGTTAAAACCCGGTTCCATCCCCGGCTCTGCCATTGACCAGCTGTGTGACCAGAGGCAAGCCTGGACCTCACTGAACCTGTCTCTGTACGTGTGACATGGGGTGATAGTGGCGCCTCACTCTCGCGGCTGCCTTGCACACTTATGAAGGTAACGGGTATAAAGGGCCTGGTAGCCAGGGGGAGCTCGGCGTGATGGTGACATTCCTGCTGTTATCCCTCTGCCTAAGGGCTCAGGTGAGAGGCTGGCTTCGCTCTGTCCCCAGGAGGGTCTCAGCTCCCTGCCCTCCAAGTGTCACCCAGACTCTTCTCTGGGCTGCAGAGGGCAGTGGAGACGGGGAGCTCATTCTCCCTTAGTGGCCCAGAGACACACAGTGAGAAGCCCAGTTGCCCAGCTGAGAGCTTCCATGGGTTAGAGGAGATGGACTTGGGGTTTGTATCCCAGAATCCTCTGAGGGCCTGAGCCCCAGTGGGACCTGTGACTGTGGGGCTCGAAGCCCAGCTCTGCCATTTACCAGCTGGGTCACCCTGGTCGAGGTACCGCCCCTCTCGGGCCATTGGTTTCCATCCGTGTAAAATGGGGCATCAGCACCGGGCTTCTGGATTCTACCTGCCCATCGGTTCTCACTGAACTGGCACATCAACCCTTCCTGAGAAGGACGTGTTACAGAGGCAGGGGCTGTGCAGGAGTGCTGTGATGTGGCCAAGGGCACCCAGCAAAGGACTGAGCAGCATAGCCAAACCTGGGGCCCAGAGCCAGGCTCTCGCCTCTGAGCCCGGGTTCTGAATTCTTACTGAGGTCCTGCTGCAGGGGAGCCACGCTGGCACAGGGCTATGATGGTTTTAGAAACCCCTGGGGCTTGGGCAGGAAATCCAGGGCAGCCCAGCCCCAGCCAGCTTGGCTGTTCCTAAAGTGAAGATGAGAGAAAATGGATTCCCAGGTCCTGCTGATCTATGGCCCCAGGGTGGGGCTGTGACATGCCGAAGGTGACAGCTGCTCCCTCCCTGTAGTGGCTTCTGGAAAGGACATGGAGCCTCAGTTAGGCAGGGACCTCAGGGTCACTGTGTCTGGTTCCCTGCCTTCACAGAGAAGCTTCCGGGCAGCATGCTGACCACCCTGGTCCCTAGGGGACAGCTCGTCCAGGCCCCTCCTGGTTCAGAAGTGAAGGGGTCCAGGTCACACAGAGGCCAGAGCACATTCAGGAAGGGATCAGTGTCCCAATATTGAGACACTGGCTGTCTACACACCTGCACATCCACAGGGCCAAACCACCAGAGGACGTCCCTCCGTGGAGGATCAGGGGGCACTAATCAGTCTGGCTGTGTGTCGGTGTTCAGGTCTCTTTACCTCTCTGAGCCTCATCTGTAAACTGGGCATAACATTGACCTCCCAGAGCCCTCAAGAGAATTAAAAGGGGTTATGACTAGGAAGGGGGACCCTTCTCTCCCCGATCACCCCAAATGACCAGGGAAGGTTTCTACAGCCCCCAAACACTGCCCTGTGGGCCTGATACCCATGGTCAGAGGAGGGAGTGGCTGTTCAGTGCACATCCACTTTGTGCCGGATGCTGACCATGGATACTCTAAGCTTGAAAACAACACTGGGAGTATCACTCCCTGCTCTTCTACAGATGGGAAAAGTCCTCTTTACCTCCTGCTGCCAGAGCCGGGGCTCCAGGGGTGGGAATTAGGAGGGGCTCCAGGGGTGGGGGAGTCAAAGGCCGGTTGTGGGCCAGTTGTGGGCAGGCACTGAGCTGGGCAAAGGGCTCCAGGGGTGAGCAAGACACGCCGAGTCCTGCCCTTCAGAGTTCATGGCCATAGGGAACACAGGCAGGAAACAGACTCAGATCCCAAACACTGAGTTCAGTTCACCTGTGCACAGTGCTGCTGCGGGGGGGCTCGTGTGCGGGGAGGCTCGTGTGTGTGTGGGGTGTGATGGAAAGCTAGAGGAGGGGCTGGTCTGGGGGCCTAGAGAAAGCCCAGGGCAGGTCTGAAGGGTGAGTAGGAGCCAAGGGGATGAGCAGGGGAGTAGATGCTCGTTACAGGAGGCAAGGCAGGTGCCAAGGGCAGAGGCCAGAACACAGAGGATTGGGGGATGGAAAGCAGCTCAGCTACCCAGGAGGCAGGAGTGTGAGAGGACCAGGGCCAGTTAGTGGAGGTAAGAAGGGATTTAAACTCCACTTGGACAACACTGGGGAGCCACTGATGGATTGAAGCAGGGAGTGAGTGATGGGTTCAGATTCCGTGTAGAAGGATGCTTGGTGCCTCCCTGTGGAACGGCGAGGAGGGCCTGCAGAGGGACAGGGGCCCTGGGGCGGGAGAAAGCGGCTAATGTGAGATCCCAAGAGCAGGGTCCACCGGACTCGATGGATTTGACAGAACGAGGAGAGGAAGGAGCCTAAGGTGACCCCCGGTGTAGTTGGCCTTAGGGTGGGGGTGGGGCCGTTCACAAAGTGGGGGGAACGGAAGGCGCAGCAATGGGGCTGATCACGGGGCCCAGGGATATGGCTGGTTGCTGGAAGCGCGCCGCGCCTCGTGGCCCAGGATGGAAGAAACCCCAGCACTGGGGGGGGCAGAGCGCTGAGGACGGGGAAAGCCGGGAGGGGCAGGCGGGAGCAGCAAGTGGTAAATGCCAGGGCAGGTGGAGTAGGGGGACAAGGATCGGGAGACCGTCGGGCTTTGGCCTCTAGCGTTGGTGTTTCCCAGGAAGAGCAGTGAGCGGGGAGGGGCAGCGGTGTCGGGTGGGGTGCTGGGGAAATGCTGAGAGGGCGGAGGTGGGGTCAGTGTGTGAGGAGTAGACCAAGTGCAGAGCGAGGAAGGAAGGGGTCTCCAGAAAAGGAAACAGCGGAGGCAAGAAGTGGGAGGAGGCAGAAAGGAGGCCGCTGCCTCAGTGGAGCCCAGGCAACAGCCCGGACGCGAGCTCAGGCCGCAGGAGCCCTGCGTGCCGCGCGGGCGGCAGGAAGGCGACCGCGGCCTCGCTCTCGGACCCGCAGGGATGAGGCCCCGGGCGCCGAGGCTCGACCCCACCCACTGTGGCCTCCTCGGGGACCCTGGCATCCTCGCGGTCGGCCCACCGGAGGCCCCGCCCCCAGCGTTGGCCTCGGTCGCTCCGGAGGATGTCCGGTCGCCGGGAGCTGGCAGAGGGGCTCCCGGGGTCGCTGATGCCACCCCTGGTCTCCTCCGCCGAGCCACAGGGCCGGAGCCTGGGTTCGAGGCTCAGCTGTGCAGTGTGGCTCCGGGACCTGACTCTGCCACGCGCAGCGGGGTTGGGTGGCCCAGGCCGGCGACTTCCTCGAGTTCCCCCTCCCCGCCCCGGGCGCACAGCAGGGTCTCATTACCGCCCATCCCCCTTCGCTAGCGCCCCGCGTGCCGGGGGGTCTCCGCGGCCGGGGGGAGGGGCGGGTTATAATGAATCCCAGGCCGGAAATTCCTCCCGAGGGGCCCGGCTGGGCTGCGGGAGTGAGGGGGGGCCGGCGCTGAGGCTGGCAATCTGCCCGCACCACCCCTCCTCCTCCTCCTCCGCCCCCCGCATCATGGAAACTGGGCCGCCGGCCGACCCCCCTGGCTCCGCTCCACATTCCTGCCTCTGGGGGCGGGCGGGGCACGAAAGCTGCGCTACCCCCTTCGGGCCGGTCCGCAGGGGGAGCCGCGGACCTCCGAACCCTCCTTATGATTTGGGACGAGCACCGCCTCCCCATTCCAGCTTGGGCAGATCTTCGGGGAGGTTAGGGAGACCGGCAGGACCCGCGACACTCCATTCGATTCAATCAACTCTGAGAACCTGGTTCATCTCTAGTTACCCTCCCCCCCACGTGATTACTCTTCATTAAGCGCTCGTGGGCTTACCCCGGGCTGCGCCCGTATTGTGCGCCCAGCCCTCAACGCCGGATTTTCACCTCTCAGCATCTGGCGAGGCAGACACCATTATGCCCATTTTACAGGTGAAGGCAGTGAGGTTCAGACAGAGGAAGGTTCAGATAGTAGGGTCGAGCGGAGCAGGAACTCCGGCCACCTCCTCCCGGAAGCTCCCCGGACGGCGCTGGGCATCTGTAGGCTCTCAGATGCCCCCAGATTCCTCTCAGATGCCCCCAGATTCCTCTCCGGGGCGACTGGAAGGAGGGACTCTGCGAGACGGGGGAGGGCGTGCGGGCTTCGAATCCTGTCTGCTCGCTCAGGCTGTGGGGCTGGGTCTCAGTTTCCGCACGTGGGAAGAGGGCGCCCTCCCAGGCCTTCTGAACGACGTTAGCGGGGGACTCGAGCCCCCGGATCCTCCGAGTCACCGGGCGCGCACACAGCGCTTACCTGCGAGCCTCAGACTTGAGTCGCTGCCTCCTTCCAGCCGTGGGGCCTGGCCGGGCCCCGGCCAGACTGTCCCTGGGGCTCCAGGAGGGCGGGGCCAGGGCAGCGCTAGGCGGGGCCGGGCCAGGGGGCGGGGCCGGGGGCCGGGATTCCTAGGAGACCGCGGCAGTGCCGCGAGCCGCGGCGCGCGGACTCGGACCCGGACCCAGCCGGGTGCGGAGGCGGCAGGTGAGCAAAACTAGGAGCCTGGGGTTCGTCCCCCACTTTCCCCAACTTTTTGTTTAGCCTCTCCCTCCAGATGGGCGCTGAGTGGGGGGTCGGGAGCCCGGTTCCCCCTTTCCCCGGAGTGTGGACGCGCGGGGAGGCGGGACCCCGGAGTGTCCGGGATCCAGCCCCGAGCAACTTCCCGAGACATGGGACCTTCGGATTGTGTCTCCAAGTTTCTGCCTCTCAGGGGTCCCCAGCGTCGACCCACGCCCTCCAGAGTCTCAGGGTCTCTGAGCATGTCCCCATCTCTCTGCAAGCCTCCGCTTCCCTTCCCGCCAGGACCCGCGGTGGCTCAGGGGTGACCTTTCCGGAGCTGGGGCCGGAGCGCCAGCTCTGGCCTGGGGCGGGGTGGTCATTTCTCCAGTTTGGGGCTGGGGAAAGGGCTCCACACTCAGAGACCGGGGTGGGGAACGGGGCTCGCCTCCTCCCAGGACGCTCCCGGGTCTGAGCAGAGAAGTGACCAGCGTTGGGTCCTAGTAGAGCCCCCGTCCTGTGTGGCCTATGACCCTGGCAGGCCCCTCCGCCTCTCCGGGCCGCAGTTTCCCTCTGTGAACACCAGGCTTTGGACGCGGAAGACGCCGGGGCTCTATGCTAGGCCCTGGGCCTTCAGCGCTCCTGTCGGAGGCAGGGATGGGGTGTCCTGCTTTGAGCTTCGGGGGTGCGAATGGGGAGTGAGTAGGATAACAAGGCCTCCTTCCTGGGGCCTCGACTATGGGTTCCAACGTTGCAGCTGTGGAGAAACCAGACTGGGGCAGTGAGGATGCACCACTGGACAGCGAGGTGCCAACCCTCCTCTCCTAAGGCCGGAGCGCCCCGGCCGGGGCACGGTTTCCTCCCACATCCTCCCTTCCGTGGGGGCCACACCACACGCAGCCCCGCGACTCCTGCCCGGCCTGGATTCACTCCTCAGGTCGCAGGCCAGGCCGCACCAGCAGCCGGGAGGGGCTTAAGCCGGGCGGCCCAGACCCTGCGGCAGCCAGAGGTGCAAGGGCGGTGCTGCTCCGGCCGGGACGCGGGCCACTGAGGCCTCGGGCGGTGGAGGCCGGAAAGGAGGCCAGGCGGCTGGAAAGGGGGATGTTTCATCCCGAGGAGCCCGAATTGGAAACGCTGCATCCTGGGGGAACAGCGTTGCCCGGGCTGACAGGAGAGACAGGAGGGGAGCTCACTTGGCAAGGTCCGGCGCCCGGCACCCGCAGCCCCCTGCTTCCTGCCCTGGCGTTAGCCCGGCCGCTGGAGGAGGGGGCGGCCTCTTCTTCGCGGAGTTTAAAGAAATCCTGGGCCAAATCTGCCACTTGTTTTGGTCAGAGCGGTCTTCTCGGAGTCTAGCTCAAGTCTCTCTTGCTGCATGCAGCTTCAGTGCTGACTGAGGAGGTCTGGAAGGAGGAGGCGGGCAGGAAGAGGCTGGAGGCCGCGACACCCACTCCTTCCTTCCCTGCGGTACTTGAAGCGCAGCAGAGGGGAGGTGGGGCCCGCGAGCGACCCCAGCGGACCCGGGCGGCTGAGTGCCCCCTCCCTCCTTTACTACGGTGCAGCCACCTGCGGGGGTGAGCTCGAGCTCGGGCGGCACTTACCCTGGAGACTCCGCTGCCGGGGGCCCCACACCTCCCGAGGCCCGGGACCCGCAAGCTGGCCAAGAGGGCGCAGGCGGCCGGAGCCCCGCAGCCAAGGATGCGCCAAGGAGCAGCCCGCGACCCCCTCCCTGGTCTCCGCCCGCGGGCCCGGCCAACTCTGGCTTCTGCCGCGCGTCCCTGGCTCGGAGCTCCGCTGCGGAAAACCCGAGCGGGGGCGGCTCCCCGCCTCGCAGCCCGGGAAAATCCGGGGGTGGCCGCCAGGGATCTCCAAGCGTCCTGGGCCAGGCAGCCCCATCTTCCCTCCCGGATGTGGGCCCCCGACCTGGCGCTCCGACCGTAGGCCCGTCGGTTCAGTCCCTGCCTCCCACCTTCTCTCTGCAGAGCGCCAAGACGACTGAGAGATGACGGCTGGGAGCCCCGGAGACTGCGGGGAGGTGCGGAGGAGCCCCGAGGGCCGCGTCTCCCGCCTGGGCCGCCGCCTGGGCCGCCGCCGGCGCCCGCGCTCCCCGCCCGAGCCCCTGCGGGTGCGGGCGCGGCTGCGGCTGCGATCGCCGTCGGGGGCGTTCGCGGCGCTGGGGGCGCTCGTGGTCCTGGTGGGCATGGGCATCGCAGTGGCCGGCTACTGGCCGCACCGCGCCGGGGTCCCGGGACCCCGGGCTGCAAACGCCAGCGCGCCCCCCCTGAGCGAGCTGCGGCGCGAGGGTCGGGGCGCCGGCCGGGCCCACGGCCCGCACGAGCGGCTGCGACTCCTTGGGCCCGTGGTCATGGGCGTAGGCCTGTTCGTGTTCATCTGCGCCAACACGCTGCTCTACGAGAACCGAGACTTGGAGACTCGACGGCTTCGTCAGGGGGTGCTGCGGGCTCAGGCGCTCCGACCCCCGGACGGCCCGGGCTGGGACTGCGCTCTCCTCCCCAGCCCCGGCCCCAGGACTCCCCGAGCCATAGGCTGCGTGGAGCCAGAAAGCTGGGACCTGTCCCCGTGTCGGGGTACCTCACCAGTCCCATCAGTGCGGAGTCTGCGTTCAGAGCCTGCTAATCCTCGCTTGGGGTTACCTGCCCTGCTCAACAGTTACCCGCTGAAGGGCCCAGGGCTGCACCCACCCTGGGGTCCACGGACCCAGACTGGCCATGTGATTATCACCGTGCAGCCCTCTGGTTCCTGCATTGAACATTCCAAGTCTCTGGATCTGGGCCTTGGGGAGCTCCTGCTTAGGGCCCCAGCAGCTCGGGACTGTGCTCACCGAAGCTGGCCACGGCTGGACCGCCTTAGTCTGGGGGGTTACGCCAAGTTGGGAGGAGGAGGGGACTTGGGGGCCCGGGTCTGAGGAGCAGGGGACAGCCTGCTATGAGGCTGCAGCATGGACCATGGTACCGGACTAGGATGGGAGTCCCAATGTCTAGTAGATGCTTCAGTCACATCCCAGACTGGGGACGGATGCTCTGGCCCCAGCAGCTGCTAAGGCATCCTGACTTGCATGTCAGCAGAGAAATGCCAGCTGCACAAGGGTTCAAAAAGCCGGAGAGAATGTGTTTTAACGTGGAATCTGGAGACCAGCATGACTCAGCCTTAGGAATTCCTTCAGCCTCCAAAAGTGGCCTTAGCCCTGGACAGGTACCTGAGGGGACTGGAGGTCCAGGCCAGGGTGATTGGGAGATGTATCTGGTGTCTTGGCAAACCCAAAGTGGTGGGCAAGGACCCTAAGACTTGGAAGGTAGGTTGTGATGTTACAGGCTGGGACAGGCTCCCTCCAAGGTGGCACTAGTGATAGGGTTTGCGCCTCTGGGAAGACAGGCAATGGGGTGGAGCTGAGATGTTCCACCGCCATCTGGGATGGAGACTGAGCCTTTAATTCCTACCACGTCAAGCCCTCCCCCCCTCAGCCATGCAGGGTATATCCCACGAGGGCTACACTACTGCCAGTGCCTTCATACTGAGGGTCTGGCCCCTCCCTTAAAGAGGTCTGAGAAGCCCCCTTTCTCTCCTTTGTCGTGGCCTGTGCCACAAAATTTCCCTCCAGTTGGCAAAAAGCATATGCCGGTTCCCAGAAATCCTTTTATATGTTGAAACTGCATTTTGGTCAATGTGGACACCTTTAGAAAATGGCTTGGATTTGGGTCTTCCTGTCGCACGTTTAATTTTTCCCAAGTTGCCGGTAAGAGAAGAGAACTTTAAAAGTTGATCAATCTTCACAGAGTCCTTTTTTTTTTTAAGTTTATTGAAAAATGCAATACAAGAAGAAGCAAGACCAAACAGTATCTAAACACTACCACCACTTCTCTAACTACAAAAGGCCAAAACGGCAGACCTAATTATTGCCTATTTAATCTAAGGATTTTGCCAATTTGATTCGGCTGGCATAGTTCCTATTTTGTCAAGAAATGTAAACAACTACTTGATATGATTCATAATTTTTTTTTTTTAATTTACAAAGCTCCTTCATTTTTGTCACCAAAATAAAACATTTGAGAGAGATCTGTAAAACCAACCAGCCTGGGGCTAAGATCCTGGACAGGTATTTCCCACGAGCCTTCCTTGGTGTTGGTCAGGCCATAGCCCTGGCTCCATTTCCCGAGGTGGACTGTTTGCTTCCTCACCCTCAGCTGCCCCGCAACACACGGTGGGGGGCTGGGGGCGGGCAGAGGCCCTGACAGGTCCCTGCAGCCAGGCTCTGTGGGCCCTCAGCGGATAAATTCAGGTCCTGCTTTGTGGGTGGGTTGGGTAGGTGGGTGGCAGAGACCTCATGTGGCTTGGAAGAAATCTTTGTTGCTGAAGTGAGATAAAAATAAAATTGCAGTGAGAGTTGTTCCTGTGCTGTGTCTGAGTCACTTTAGGAAAACTGCCAAGTTGTTGACACTGGAAATGAACTCTTCTCCCCTCTTCACCATTTCCACTTGGACAGTCTGTTTTTCTTCACACACACGCACACACACAGTGGCAGAAAGAAAAAAAAAAGATCCAAACAATTGCCAAACCCCAAGTTCTGTAACCAGAGAGGGAGGAAAAGGAAAGAGGCTTGGAAGGACACCCCTCGTGTTGGCTTGTCCGAATCATGGCTTCTCAGCGCCAGAAGGGCATTGGAGATCTTCTGGTCCGACTTATAGACAAGGAAGCAGGGTGAAGTGAGTTGGTGACAGATTGAGGGGAAGTTCAGGCCCCTGATTTGTGGTCCTAGGCAGTGAAAGTGGCCACACTGACCTGGATGGCACAGAATACTCAGTGTGCCAGGTTCCTGACATGCACGCTGTGCCCTCTTCCTTTCCCCATCTTCATGCCACAGGTTGCAGCTCTGCAAGCTCCGGCAGCTCTTCCAGCAGGACAGCTGGCCATTGGCAAGTGAGTTCACATCGCATGCCTATATGATGTGAGCTGGATTTCCAACCTCACCACCGCTCTGGGCAACAAAGCTCGGGCTTGGGCAAGGCCTGGAAAAGCCCCATCGCTCCAGACCGTATGCCCCAGGCTGTCTGTCCCTGAGACAGGGCACTCTCCTTCCCCCCGAAGCCTGTCACATATCCCACCTGAGCTCTTCCTGTCCCTGCCCAGAGAGAGCTACCTGTTGGTTAGTAACAGTCTCAAGTAAGTACTAAGAGAAAAACGCACACTCGTGAAAACAGTTCAAACCAACTGAGTTGTCTAAACAAAGGTCAGCCAGCAGAGACTCCGGAGACGTGCTGCGGGCTGGGAGCAGAGGCTGTAGACTTCTCTCCTGCTCACCGCCCTGGAGCCCCCAGCCACTGCTGACTGGGACCCGCTGTCCACCTCAGGAAGCTCACTTTCTGTCCTAGAATCAGGATTCTAAGAACTTGTAGGTAGATCTGTTTGTGGGAAGCAAGCTGGAAGATCAGAGAGGCCCTACTGAATAAAAATGTCCCCTAATCTTTACCAGGAATAGTGGGATTGGGGACATCAGTCCTCATTTTCAAAAACAACAACAAATTAAACCCAAACCCACCACAAACATCAAGCCACAAAACCTGACAGACCTCAGATGGCAAGTGGGGATGAGTGGAGCTGGTGTTTGTACCCCTTGTCAAGTGGGGTTTTGTGGGGAGCGTGGCCCCTAAAAGCCAATTCCCACGCTCCAGAAGGGTCTCTGCAGGCAGGGGCCGGTCTGGACCACGATCGCCTCCTCTCTCAGTCACATCCTCTCTCACCCCAGGATTAAAGAGAGAGGCTCAGGGATGTTCTCCTGGAAATACTTCTTCGCAGGATCCAACTGAGGTAAACTCCACCACTCCCCTGTGTGAAGTGCACATTCCCAGAACTAGAAAACCTTTAAAAAAGTCTCATCAACTTTCTTTGTCCAAATCACCACTAAAAATGTGCGGTTAGTGCTTTTGGCCCAAAGTGCCTATTTTTCTGTGAGTTTTGGTCTCTCCTGAGATGGGAGGTGGGGGGAGCACTTAGCAGAGCCACTGCTTCTGATGAGGTAAAAGGGGAGGGAGGGCAGGAAGGTGAAGGCCACGGATATGTTCAAACATTCACAGTATCAGATATATCTGAAGCAACTTCTTATGTCTTTGATCTAAAGAAGCTCCAAAAAGAAAGAACAGGAGAGAGGAAGGAAAACAATACTACATTCTTAGCAGAGGCCTCTGCCTCCCCACACCACCCTCAGCAAAGGGATAGGGACATCTTCCTGGGGTCTCTGGATCAGGGCAGCCACCCTGCCTGACATTCTGATAAAGTTACATCACTGGCTCTGAGAAAGGGCTGGTTTATGAAGTTTCTGCTGCCATCTAAAGGGTATAAACTAGGGGAGGAGCAGGGAAGCCCCATTAAGCTGGCTTTGTCCCCCAGCACAGCTGACAGAGTCATTGGAGGATTTCCCGAAGAATGCTGGGGACCCTGCCAGTATAAATGGGGAGAGGCTGGTCTGAAGGGGTTACAAACCACCCCATAAAAAAACAAAAGGCTCTTTAAAAACAGTCCAAAGAGTGAAAAGTTGAACAATTTCTGGTATCACAATATAGAAAAATGTATTCAAAAGGATCAGTGATATCTAGAAGACTTTCTTGGTATAAACTCCAAATAGAAAATGAAATTGCTTTTCTGGTGGTTTAGAATCAATCATTTTAAAAGTCTGAAGTCTGACTATTGCAGGTTAGCTTCTTTATCATTCTGCTGGTTTTCTCTGGGACGGGAGATGGGCAGGGAGTCGGGGGAGGGGGGAGGGTAGGACAGTTCCTAGAGGAAAGAAAGAAGCAAAGTTTTAAAATCCCGCAAAGGAGACTGCTACCCAGTCCCGGTGCCAAGTTCTTGTGGCCACAAGTGACAGTCAGGGCCCGAGCGGTTTTACAGGGCCCCGTCCTACCTGGTGATTGATGGCTTCTTCAAGTTATTTGTAAACTACTTGTAGGCATGACTTTATCTGGAACCCTGGCTCCCCAAAAGCAGCTATCCTGCTTCCAACTCTCTAGTCTGGCCCCAGAGCTTCAGCCCTTTCTTTCCTATCCTCCAAACCCTCATTTCCAGACAGCTAGCGCTGCTTTTCTTGGTTTTGTTCTCCTCTGGCCCTCCCAGGTCTAGGCTCAGGGAGACTTGTGACAGCAGAGAGTAGAGCAGCAGGGAGAAGTGGGGGGAGGTGAGGTGGAGAAGCTGGAGGATGCGTGAAGATTCAAAAGGTGGGTGGGATTTACATCCACGCTTGGTGTATCTCTTCCACCCCGTCACTGCTGGCACCGCTGAGGGCAGGAGGAGACCTAGCTGCTTTAGTTGGAGCCAGACACTTAATGACCTCCCACATCCTCCTCCTCAGCCTTCCTCTGCCTTCGGTTTATCAAGTCCCAGCGTGGACTCCTCTGGGGGGATGGCTCCACTCCGCACGCACGGCCCATACCTGAGCTCACTCCTCAGAGATCTCGGTTTCCTGATGGACGACCACCTTGGTCACTGACATGTCTGGGTGCTGCTCCTTTGCCTCCTTGATGGCCTGTACGAGGACCTGAGAAAGACAGAAACAACGTCCATCAGGCAGAAAGCAGCCTGGCTGGTGAAAAAGGCAGGGGTCATAGGACACCATTTCTCTGGCAAGTTCAATCTTTCTGTCTACAGAACCAGAGCAGCATGGGTAAGCCAAGCTGACGATGGCCGTACCCACCCTATCCTGCTTAGGGAGGCTCCTGGACTGAAAACACAGACACAGGGAGAGCTTAGAGCTGTCTCCAAGGACTCAGGGAGGGCCTTGAGGGCTGACAGCCTGGTGGCTCTGGGAAGATTCACTCAAGAAAGGGAGTCTGAAGAACAAAGTGAAATCTGTGTTCAGCGTAGGGTAACCGGGAAGCTCAGGACAGGAGAGGAAACTAGCGAAGCATGCTACAAGAAGGAAGAGATGTCTCTGGCTAAAGTAGAGACAAGAAAGGAAGAAAGAGTGGGAGGGCCCATGACATGCCACATACTGGCCTAAGTACATTACTTATTATGATTTACTTGATCTTTACAACAACTCAATGAATTAAGGCAGTATCCTTAATTTCATATTTTAGACGTGGAAACCGAGGTTCAGTGGTTAAAGTGCTTAACGTTTCACAGCTAGTAAGTAACACAATGGGGATTTTCACTTAAGTCTATCAGACTTTCCTCTTTGCCACACTGTTTTTTAGTTTCAGAGGGAGGTGGAGGGGATGACGACCCTATTTTAGTATCTGGAGGAGTTTTGATCATTTTAGAAAAGCTGAAGGGAGCAGAGGGAAAGTCAAAGAAGAACAATGACACGACTACTCCCCTTGGGCTGCAAGTCGCTGAGCCTCAAGCTCAGAGCACCCCAAGGTGGAGGAGCCCAACACAGGCTTTGGGGGATGGTGGCATGGGATTCTCAGTGCCAGGCCTCCATCAAAAAGGACTCTAGCTAGATTTGACCAGCTGACTGTTAACCCTGGCTGTTAAGACTACTTCTAGGAGGGACGGGAAGAAGGGAGATCCCTCTTTTGGTCTCTTGACTCCATGAAAGCCGTTCTTGGCACCGCTACCTCTACAGGCCCCTGCTCATCCTCTCAGCTTGTTTGCTCAACCAGTCTGCTCATGCTTCAAGGCCCAGCCCAAGCCCCCTCTCTGGTTACTCTGGCCTACACCCCTCTCTCTCTGACAGCCTGCACCTTCTTAAAGTGCCCACTCCCGATCCAGAGTGCACCACATCTTAGCCCTTCCACATGTCCCTCATGTCTCAGAGACTGAGGGACACTGGAGCACCTCTCTGAGCTATCAAGTGTGCTTGTCCTTTTGTCCCAATAACCCTGAAAGAAACCTATGATAATCTTTATTTTACAGAGGGCAAAACCACAGCTCAGAGAAGTAAAATAACTTGCTCAAGGACACACAACCAGTAAGTTGCAGAGTCAGGATTCAACCCAGGTCTGTCTCACTCCAAAGCCAAAACACCTTCCTATGCCATCTAGCACAGATGAAGCACGTGGCAGGGGCTCAGATCACATCAGGCCGCGTAGGTGAGTGCAGGCTGGTAACACAGCAGCATCCCTTGCGCTGGGGCAAACAGACTGCAAGGCCTCCCACTTGGGCTTTTTGCAGCCTTGTTGCTGGGACCCTCAGCCCGGTGTTCTCAGCTGTAAGTCTCAACCCTGCTACCAAGGGAACTGTCAGCACTGCCGCTCAGTCTATTTTTTCTTTTTAAGGCACTCAGCATATCAGCATAAAGGCCACAGAACTATTGCTCCAGCACTCCTGTCAATGATTCCAGAAGCATTTACATGCAGTCTCTTCCACCCCCGCTTCTCTGTAGCTTTACTGTTCTAACCTCACCCAGCAGAGAATTGGGAACATTAATCCTGACCTTATTATTTGCTAATTGCTCGAAGCACACAATTAGCACCTAATTAACATAAAAGCATAGAATTTTAGCACTCAGAGGGCCCAGAAATTAGCTAGATCAACCTACTCTCTTTTAGGAGAGAACAAAAAAAAAAATATATGGGAGGTGAAGTGATTTGCCCAGGGTCATACAACAAGTTAGTGATAGATCTAGGACAGAAATTAAGTTCCAGGTCTCCTGAGTTCCAGCCCCATGACACTGGGGCTGGAACCTTCTAGCTCGCCCCTCTGAGGGTAGAGACTACATGTTGGTTTGATATCATCTACTGTCTCCAGCACAGGTTTGGGTACATGATATCGCCTGAACAGCAACAGCTCTATTTACTTGGAGCCCCCCACATGCCCCACAATGTACATCTGTATCTCACTTGATTCTCACAACCTTGAAGGAAGATGCTATCTTATAGATGAGGAAACAGAGGCCTAGGGAGTTAGGGCTAGAATATGGTAAGAACTAGGATTTGAGTGTAAAGCCCATGTTCTTTGCATTACACTTCACTGCTTCTCCAATCTACGGCCCCCATCCCACAGGCCTCAGTGATCCGACGCCCTTTGTCCTTCTTCTCGATTAAGAGCTAGCTAAGGAGCCCCCTTGGAGATAAAGCTGTTATCTTTTTTTTTTCTTTTTTTGGCGGTACGCGGGCCTCTCACTGTTGTGGCCTCTCCTGTTGCGGAGCACAGGCTCCGGACGCGCAGGCTCAGCGACCATGGCTCACGGGCCCAGTCGTTCCGCGGCATGTGGGATCTTCCCGGACCGGGGCATGAACCCGTGTCCCCTGCATCGGCAGGTGGACACTCAACAACTGCGCCACCAGGGAAGCCCCGTAAGCTGTTATCTTTTGCAAGCCAATTTCGGTGTCCATCAGTGATCCCTCCCCAGAACCTCTCCCATGCCCAGGATCTCAGCATTCCCACCTGATCATGGTCAATATCGGCATCTCCTGTGATCACAATTCGCTTTTCAATCCGGGTCTCTGAAATCCCACCTTTTACAGTCTGAAACAAAAGAGAGGTGACCATATGAGAAAGAAAGAAAGAAAAACCCAAACAGCAAAACAAAACAACAGCAAGAAATTAGTCTGAAAACTATACTCCAAATTTTAATCTGCTGCTGGGTACTGAATAGGGCAGCTTTCTCACACACTTGTTCAAAATCTTGGCTGGACCTGCTAAAATGAGCACACGCCTGTTCCCTAGTATTGCTAAAACCTTTAATAAGCTAAACAGAAAGTCATAATTCTCTATTATTTATTTTTACCCTTTTCTTCCTCCCAAACACTGAAGAATTTCTGTGAGTAAACAAAACAGGTGTTCCTTTTTGCTCTTTTCCTATATATTTTGATTGTTTTCAAGAGGCAAACAAATCAGAAGACTATGAACAAAAAAATGTCATGAAGCTTGAAATTAGGCTCTTTATTTTAAAACATTTTCATATTACTGATGTCAAAAGACCCTCAAATAATCCCCCCAGGGTAGGTAGGTTTCCCTACTTCACAGATGAGGAAACCATGGTCTAGACATATTACATAACTGGCTTCCAGCCATCTGTGTGTTGATGATGGAGCTTGGTCAGCAATCTAGATCTCTTATTTACAAGAAAATGCTTTTTCATCTAGTGCTACCACCAACATGGATTGTCTCTGATTTTCTGGGAGTAGTCCCAATTTTAGATACTTTGTCCCTCTTGCCCCCATAAACAATATTCTAACAATTTCAATATTTCAGCATCCAAACTACAGTTCCCATGGCCTTGATCCTGGACATGACATAAAAATTCTTCGTGAGACCCGGAGTTCTGATATTTGGCTTGGAAAATATGGTTGCTTAATAATACCAACAACACCTGCCCTTAAACAGACTTTTTTCTTAATAGATCTTTATTGGAGTATAATTGCTTCACAATACTGTGTTAGTTTCTGTTGTACAACAAAGTGAATTAGCCATATGCATACATATATGCCCATATCCCTCCCCCACTCCCTATCCCACCCCTCTAGGTCATCGCAAAGCACCGAGCTGATCTCCCTGTGCTATGCTGCTGCTTTCCACTAGCTAACTAGTTTACATTCGGTAGTGTATATATGTTGATGTTACTCTCACTTCACCCCAGCTTCCCCTCCCCCACCGCATCCTCAAGTCCATTCTCTATGTCTATGTCTTTATTCCTGCCCTGCCACTAGGTTCATCAGTGCCATTTTTTTTTTTTAGATTCCATATATATGTGTTAGCATACAGTATTTGTTTTTCGCTTTCTGACTTACTTCACTCTGTATGACAGACTCTAGGTCCATCCACCTCACTACAAGTAACTCAGTTTCATTTCTTTTTATGGCTAACATTCCATTGTATATATGTGCCATATCTTCTTTATCCATTCATCTGTCGACGGACATTTAGGTTGGTTCCATGCTCTGGCTATTGTAAATAGTGCTTCAGTGAACACTGTGGCACATGTCTCTTTTTGGTTTTTTTGTTTGTTTATTTATTTACTTATTTATTTATTTATTTATTTATGGCTGCATTGGGTCTTCGTTGCTGCGCGCAGGCTTTCTCTAGTTGCAGCGAGTGGGGCTACTCTTTGTTGAGGTGCGTGGGCTTCTCATTGTGGTGGCTTCTTTTGTGCTGTGGAGCACGGGCTCTAGGCACATGGGCTTCAGTAGTTGTGGCACATGGGTTCAGTAATTGTGGCTCAGGGACTCTAGAGCGCAGGCTTGGGCTTAGTTGCTCCGTGACATGTGGGATCTTCCCGGACCAGGGCTCGAACCCATGTCCTCTGCATTGGCAGGCGGATTCTTAACCACTGCGCCACCAGGGAAGTCCCCGTGTCTCTTTTTGAATTATGGTTTTCTCAGGGTATATGCCCAGTAGTGGGATTGCTGGATCATAGGGTAGTTCTTTTTTTTAGTTTATTAAGGAACCTCCATACTGTTCTCCATAGTGGTTGTATCAATTTACATTCTGACCAACAGTGGAGGAGGGTTCCCTTTTCACCACACCCGTTCCAGCATTTATTGTTTCTAGATTTTTTGATAATGGCCATTCTGACCAGTGTGAGGTAATACCTCATTGTAGTTTTGATTTGCATTTCTCTAATAGTAAGTGATGTTGAGCATCTTTTCATGTGCCTCTTGGCCATCTGTATGTCTTCTCTGGTGAAATGTCTATTTAGGTCTTCCACCTATTTTTTTAATTGAATTGTTTGGTTTTTTTTGTATTGAGCTCCATGAGCTGGTTGTATATTTTGGAGATTAATCCTTTGTCCATTGTTTCATTTGCAAATATTTTCTCCTATTCTGAGGGTTGTCTTTTCGCCTTGTTTATGGTTTCCTTTGCTGTGCAAAAGCTTTTAAGTTTACTTAGGTCCCATTTGTTTATTTTTGTTTTTATTTCCATTTCTCTAGGAGGTGGGTCAAAAAAGATCTTGCTGTGGTTTATGTCAAAGAGTGTTTTTCCTATGTTTTCCTCTGAGTTTTATAGTGTCTGGTCTTACATTTAGGTCTTTAATCCATTTGGAGTTTGTTTGTTTTTTGAGTTTATTTTTGTGTATTGTATTAGGGAGTGTTCTAATTTCACTCTTTTACATGTAGCTATCCAGTTTTCCCAGCACCACTTATTGAAGAGATGTCTTTTCTCTGTTGTATGTTCTTACCTCCTTTGTCAAAGATCAGGTGACCATATGTGCGTGGGTTTATCTCTGGGCTTTCTATCCTGTACCATTGATCTATATTTCTGTTTTTGTGCCAGTACCATACTGTCTTGATTACTGTAGCTCTGCAGTTTAGTTTGAAGTTGGGGAGCCTGATTCCTCCAGCTCTGTTTTTCTTTCTCAAGATTGCTTTGGCTATTTGGGGTCTTTGTGTCTACATACGAACTGTAAAGTTTTTTGTTCTAATTTTGTGAAGAATGCCATTGGTAGTTTGATGGGGATTGCATTGAATCTGTAGATTGCTTTGGGTAGTATAGTCATTTTCACAATATTGATTCTTCCAATCCAAGAACATGGTATATTTCTCCATCTGTTTATGTCACCTTTGATTTCTTTTATCAGTGTTTTATAGTTTTCTGAGTACAAGTCTTTCGCCTCCTTAGGTAGGTTTATTCCTAGGCATTTTATTCATTTTGTTGCGATGGTAAATGGGATTGTTCCTTATTTTCTCTTTCTGATTTTTCCTTGTTAGTGTATAGGAATGCCAGACATTTCTGATTTTTTTTTTACATCTTTATTGGAGTATAATTGCTTTACAATGGTGTGTTAGTTTCTGCTTTATAACAAAGTGAATCAGTTATACATATACATATGTTCCCATATCTCTTCCCTCTTGCGTCTCCCTCCCTCCCACCCTCCTTATCCCCTGATTTTTTTTTTTTTATGTTCCTGATCTTAGTAGAAATGCTTTCAGTTTTTCACCATTGAGTATGATGTTTGCTGTGGGTTTGTCATATATGGCCTTTATTATGTTGAGGTAGTTTCCCTCTATGCCCATTTTCTGGAGAGTTTTTATCATAAATGGATGTTGAATTTTGTCAAAAGCTTTTTCTGCATCTATTGAGATGATCATATGGTTTTTATTCCTTAATTTGCTAATATGGTGTACCACATTGATTGATTTGCATATACTGAAGAATTCCTGCATCCCTGGGATAAATCCCACTTGATGATGGTGTCTGATCCTTTCAATATGTTGTTGGATTCTGTTTGCTAGTATTTTGTTCAGGATTTTTGCATCTATGTTCATCAGTGATATTGGTCTGTAATTTTTTTTGTGATATCTTTTTCTGGTTTTGGTTTCAGGGTGGTGGTGGCTTCGTAGAATGAATTTGGGAGTGTTCCTCCCTCTGCAATATTTTTGGAGAGTTTGAGAAGGATCGGTGTTAGCTCTTCTCTAAATGTTTGATAGAATTTGGCTGTGAAGCCATCTGGTCCTGGACTTTCGTTTGTTGGAGGATTTTTAATTACAGTTTCAATTTCATTACTTGTGATAGGTCTGTTTATATTTTCTAATTCTTCCTGGTTCAGTCTTGGAAAATTGTACCTTTCTAAGAATTTGTCCATTTCTTTGTGGTTGTCAATTTTATTGGCATATAGTTGTTTGTAGTAGTCTCTTACAATCCTTTGTATTTCTGTGGTGTGTCAGCTGTGATTTCTCCTTTTTTCATTTCTTATTTTATTGATTTGCATCCTCTCCCTTTTTTTCTTGGTGAGTCTGGCTAAGGGTTTATCTATTTTGTTTATCTTCTCAAAGAAACAGCTTTCAGTTTTATTGATCCTTGCTACTGTTTTCTTCATTTCTATTTCATTTACTTCTGCTCTGATCTTTATGATTTCTTTCCTTCTACTGACTTTGGGTTTTCTTTGTTCTTCTTTCTCTCATTGATTTAGGTGTAGGGTTAGGTTGTTTATTTGAGATTTTTCTATTTCTTGAGGTGAGACTGAATTGTTATAAACTTCCCTCCTAGAACTGCTTTTGCTGCATCCCATAGGTTTTGGGTCACTGTGTTTTCATTGTCATTTGTTTCTATGTATTTTTTTATTTCTTCTTTGATTTCTTCAGTGATGTCTTGGTTATTTAGTAACACATTTTTTAGCCTCCAAGTATTTGTGGTTTTTACAGTGTTTTTTTCTGTAGTTTATTTCCAATTTCATAGCATTGTGGTCAGAAAAGATACTTGATATGATTTCAATTTTCTTAAATTTTCCAAGGCTTGATTTGTGACCCAATGTGATCTATCCTGGAGAATGTTCCATGTGCACTTGAGAAGAAAGTGTACTCTTCCTCTTCTGGGTGGAATGTTCTATAAATATCAATTAAATCTACCTGGTCTACTGTATCATTTAAAGCTTGTGTTTCCTTAGTTATTTTCTGTTTGGATGATCTGTCCATTGGTGTAAGTGGGGTGTTAAAGTCCCATACTATTATTGTGTTACTGTCTATTTCCACTTTCCTGGTTGTTAGCATTTGCCTTATGTATTGAGGTGCTCCTATGTTGGGTGCATAAACATTTATAATTGTTATATCTTCTTCTTGGATTGATCCCTTGATCATTATGCAGTGTCCTTCCTTATCTCTTGCAACAGTCTTTATTTTAAAGTCTATTTTATCTGATATGAGTATTGATACTCTGGCTTTCTTTTGATTTCCATTTGCATGGAATATCTTTTTCCATCCCCTCATTTTCAGTCTGTACGTGTCCCTAGGTCTGAAGTGGGTCTCTTGTAGACAGCATATATATGGGTCTTATTTCTGTATCCATTCAGCCAGTCTGTGTCTTTTGGATGGGGCATTTAATCCATTTACATTTAAGGTTATTATCGATATGTATGTTCCTATTACCATTTTCTCTTTTTTTAAATTTATTTATTTTATATATTTATTTTTGGCTGCGTTGGGTCTTCATTGCTGCGCACAGGCTTTCTCTAATTGTGTCAACAGGCTTCTCATCGTGGTGGCTTCTCCTGTTGCACAGCAATGGGCCCTAGGTGTGCAGCCTTCAGTAGTTGTGGTGTGTGGGCTCAGTAGCTGTGGCTCGAAGGCCCTAGAACGCAGGCTCAGTAGTTGTGGCGCACGGGCTTAGTTGCTCTGCGGCATGTGGGATCTTCCCGGACCAGGGCTTGAACCCGCGTTCCCTGCATTGGCAGTGGATTCTTAACCACTGCACCACCAGGGAAGCCCTCTTTTACCATTTTTTTAATTGTCTGGGGTTTGTTTTTGTGGGTCTTTTTCTTCTCTTGTGTTTCCCGCCTAGAGAAGTTTCTTTAGCATTTGTTGTAAAGCTGGTTTGGTGGTGCTGAATTCTCTTAGCTTTTGCTTGTCTGAAAAGCTTTTGATTTCTCCCTCGAATCTGAATGAGATACTTTCTGGGTAGAGTAATCTTGGTTGCAGGTTTTTCTCTTTCATCACTTTAAGTATATCCTGCCACTCCCTTCTGGCCTGCAGAGTTTCTGCTGAAAAATCAGCTGATAACCTAATGGAGATTCCTTTGTGGGTTATTCTTGGTTTTTCCCTTGCTGCTTTTAATATTTTTCTTTGAATTTAATTTTGTTAGTTTGATTAATATGTGTCTTGGTGTGTTTCTCCTAGGGTTTATCCTGTATGGGACTCTCTGTGCTTCCTGGATTTGGGTGACAATTTCCTTTCCTATGTTAGGGAAGTTTTCCACTATAATCTCTTGAAATATTTTCTCAGACCCTTTCTATTTCTCTTCTTCTTCTGGGACGCCTATAATTCGAATGCTGGTGCATTTGGTGTTATCCCAGAGGTCTCTGAGACTGTCTTCAATTATTTTCATTCTTTTTTCTTTATTCTGCTCCTCGGCAGTTATTTCCACCATTCTGTCTTCCAGCTCACTTATTGATTCTTCTGCCTCAGTTATTCTGTTATTGATACCCTCTAGTGTATTTTTCATTGCAGTTATTGTGTTGTTCATCTCTGTTTGTTTTTTCTTTAGTTCTTCTAGATCTTTGCTTAACATTTCTTGTATTTTCTCAATCCGTGCCTCCATTCTATTTCCGACATTCTGGATCATCTTTACTATCATTACTCTGATTTCTTTTTCAGGTAGATTGCCTCTTTTCTCTTCATTTATTTGGTCTTGTAGGTTTTTACCTTGCTCCTTCATCTGTGACATATTTTTTTGCTGTCTCTTTTTTTAGTGGTGTGCGGGCCTCTCACTGTTGTGGTCTCTCCCGTTGCGGAGCACAAGCTCCAGACGCGCAGGCTCAGCGGCCACAGCCCACGGGCCCAGCCACTCCACAGCATGCGGGATCCTCCCGGACTGAGGCATGAACCCACGTCCCCTGCATTGGCAGGTGGACTCTCAACCACTGCGCCACCAGGGAAGCCCTGCTGTCTTATTTTTTATTTTCTTTTTTTTGTGAGTGGGATTGTGTTCCTGTCTTACTGGTTGTTTGGACTGAGGCTTCCAACACTGGAGTTTGTAGGCTGTTGGGTAGAGCTGGGTCTTGGTGCTGAGATGAGGACCTCAGGGAGACCTCATTCTGATGAATGTTCCCTGGGGTCTGAGGCTCTCTGTTAGTCCAGTAGTTTGGACTCAGAGCTCCCACCGCAGGAACTTCAGCCCGACCCCTGGCTCATGAACCAAGATCCCGCAAGCCCATGCCAGGCGGCAAAAAAAAAAAAAGGAGAACAATAACAAAGTAAAAAATAAAATTAGACGAGGTAACTAACAGATACATTAGAAAAAATATAAAAATAAAAATATAGATGAAACAACAACTGGAAGGTAAAAAGAACCACAATAGTAAAAAAGAGGAGAAAAAAACGTGGAAAAAGGCCTTGGCTGTGGAGGGCGGGCCTAAGCAGGGGCGAGGTTTGGGTGGTGGGCAGGGCTTATGCTTAGGACCCACAGGGCTGGAAAAGGCCCTGGGAAGGAAGGAGGCGTGGTGGGGCCTAGGCTCAACAGAACAGAAGGGGCCCAGTGCCCCCTGCCTCCTGCCTCTGGTCTCAGAGGGCAGTGAACCCCCTTGGCTTCCTGGGCTCGAGTGGGCGGGGCAAACACCCTTTGCTCCTTTCCTGCTCCTCCGGTCCTGGAGGGTCCCTCCCACCTGCCTCTCCTGTTCTCTCCTGGCCTCCCTCCTACGACCCCAGGACCAACCCAGCCCAGAGGGGACCTCTGAGGGCGTAGGACCCGCCCAAGAGCCAGGCAGACTTCCCCGGCCCACTGGGCAGGGGAAACGCTGGGCATGCTCCCCCCAACCCGAGACCCCGAGGGTCCCTCCAGGCATTGGAACCCCTCCCCCTTCTCAGCCACCCCTCAGGGGCGCTGGTCCTGTCCAGCCTCCACTTCTCCTCCCCCCTCAGTCTCCCCACATCCTACCGGTTCGCTTGGGGGTTCTTCCCATCTCCTTGGGCATCAGGGTCCCACACCAGCATTCGGCAGGCACCCTAGTTGTGGGGAGACGCGAACTCTGCGTCTGACTTTTTAAACTGAATTTTTAGGCTGACCTCCACAGCCAGACAGGGGACTCACTGACCAGGGAGACAGACGAATGTGTAAAGAGAACAACCACATGTGACTTTAATGAGACCATGAAGTAGACAGGGATGCTCAGGGTCTCCCTGGGTTTATTGCTGGGGAAAGCAACAGGGCCTTTTCACCCTGGACACTGGGAAAAATTTGGCTCAGTAGGAAAGAAGCTGAAAACCCTTGCTTATGGACCAGGGTTCTTGCAGAGAGGCAGCAAGCTTGGCATGCCACTGGATTTCAGAAGGAATTTCTAGCTGTCTGTTACCTTGGTAATTTGAGTTGTGGTGGTGCTGCTGGTGGTCTCAGATGTGATGGTCTGAGCTGTCAGCAAGACTCCTGGGTCCAAGTCCCCGTTGCTGTCGTCAGTCTGCAGAAGGAGACACAACTCATCACCATGCCTCTTAGGAAACCTCATGGGCAAATGTTGTAGATGCAGCTTTGCTCTGCAGCTGCACGTTCTAAAGCAAAAACCCAATTCCCTTACAGTGATCTCTTAATTAATAAAATGAAGCCCCTGGGAACAAAGCTCCTTCTAAAATAGTTGGACAAGTCCAGTTTCCCCAGCATTGGGTCAGTGACAGGAGTGGATGAGAAAAAGGAGGCAGGAGTGTAACCACAGGTTCAACAAGAGTGACAGTAACTATGCACATGTATACAGCATTTTACAGCTCATAAATGGCTTTCAAAACTTTCTTTTTTGATGCTTACACAAGCCCTGTGAATATAAATAGAAAAGGCAGAAATTTATTAGCACTCCCAGGTAAGACTCAGGTTCAGAGAAAGCGAGTGATTTGCCCAAGGACTCAAAACTACTGGTATTGTACACTGACTCAGAGGGGCATTTAGAGAATTGTGATTATTTTCATAAAGAATTCTGCAGCAAGCAACGTGCTAGGTTACCATCCTTCTCCACCTCTTTATATAAGTAATTTGCATTATAAGCAGAGGCCTCCAACTTTTTTATGAGCAGGGCCACATTTCATTGAGGCAAAACTTTGAGATACTGTGGGGAGGGCGGAAGGAGGAGAAGAGAATTAGAAAAGAGAAGAGTCCCTGGCTGGATTCACTTCCAGGTAGGAATATGGACAAAACAAAGAGAGGGAACATGATTGTGTCACCTAAGTCTTTCATACACGTCACCCTCATACCAGGCATATTATTGGCTAGTTTACTAACACTTTCTTCAGCCCAGACATATTTATCTACCTTAGATTCAGACTGAGCTAACATTTATTGCACTTGTACTATATGCCAAGCACATAATGCAACTATTACCTCAATCACACCTCTCAGTATCCGAAGTAGGTACTCACTGTATATTATTTTGCTCACTGTATAGTTCAGAAAAGTGAGGTCCAGAGAGGTTAAATAATTTTCCAAAGGGATTTCCCTGGTGGCCCAGTGGTAAAGAATCCACCTTCTAATTCGGGGGATGCGGGTTCGATCCCTAGTCAGGGAACTAAGATCCCACATGCCACAGGGCAACTAAGCCCGTGCGCCACAACTACTGAGCTCATGCACCTCAACTAGAGAGCCCACGTGCAACAAACTACAGAGCCCATGTGCCCTGGAGCCTGCACACCACAACTAGAGAGAAGCCCATGTGCTGCAACAAAAGATCCAGTGTGCCACAACTAAGACCCAATGCAGCAAAAAAAAAAAAGTAAATAAATTAATTAAATAAAAAGAAACCTTAAAGAAATAACAATTTGCCAAGGTTCTATGCTAATAAGTGCTTGAACTAGGACTGAGGGCAAAGACTTCCTGTCTGAAGATTGGGGTTCAGGTCCCAGCTCAGACAGTGGCTGGCTGTAGAACCTTGGGCAAGTCATTCTGACTTTTCTGAGCTTTAGTTTTCTCATTTTTATAACAGGCTACCCTGTAAGATGTGCTCTGCCTCCACTGTAGCACTGCTGTGAAGATCAAAAGAGATTTTAGAAATAAAAGTACATTATAAGTTGTTATTAAGAATTTGTGTGCCAATATATACACAATGGACTATTACTCAACCATTAAAAAGAATGAAATAATGCCATTTGTAGCAACATGGATGGACGTAGAGATTATCAAGTGAAGCAAGTCAGACACAGAAAGACAAATACCATATGATATCGCTTATACGTGGAATCTAAAAAAATGATACAAATGAACTTATTTATAAAACAGAAATAGGCTCACAGACATAGAAAACAAACTTATGGTTACCAAAGGGGAAAAGGTTGGAGGGAGGGATAAATTAGGAGTTTGGGATTAAAATATACACACTATTATATATAAAATAACCAACAAGGACTTACTGTATAGCATAGGGAACTATACTCAATATCTTGTAATAACATATAATGGAAAAGAATCTAAAGAACAGATATATACATGTATGTATAACTGAATCACTTTGCTGTACACTGAAACACAACATTGTAAATCAACTATACGTCAATAACAATTTTTTTAATCCAAAAAAAAAAAAGAATTTGCGTGCCAGGAGGGCTAAACCTTTTTGAAAAGCTCCTCCTCTACTAAACCTAAGAATCTATTTTTTTCTACCTCCCTCCCACCCCCTTCCTCCTCCTTTTCTGTCTCTGAAGAAGGTGGAAGAGGGAGGAGACATTGTTATGATTTCCAACTTAACACTCTTTCCACATGGGGCCTCTTTTCTTACCAGTGTTTTCTCAAAATGGTACTGTAGCTTTCAGTTGCTTATAAAGTTAACCATCCCTTTATCCTATGACACAGCAGTTCCACTCTTAGGTGTTTACCCAAGATAAGTGAAAACATATGTCCACAGAAAGACTCGCACATGAATGTTTAAAGCAGCTTTATCCATATTTGCCCCCAACTGGAATCAACTCAACTGTCCATCAACAAATGAAAGGATAAACAAATTGCGGTATATTCATACAATGGAATACTACTCAACAATAAAAAGCAGTGAACTATGGATTCATATAACATGGATGAATCTGAAAAACATGTTCAGACACAAAAGGGTATGACTGTATACTTCCATTTATATGAAGTCCAAGAACAGGTAAAACTAAGCTATGATAACAGAAATCAGAGCAGTGGCTGCCTAGAGGGATAGGGATGGACTGGCAAAGGCTATGAAGAAAGTTTCAGGAGTGATGAAAATGTTCTGAACCCAAATGTGTCTTGGTTACACAGGTAGATACATTCGTCAAAACCAATAAAAAATTGAACTCTTGGGCTTCCCTGGTGGCGCAGTGGTTGAGAGTCTGCTTGCCGATGCAGGGGACACGGGTTCGTGCCCCGGTCCGGGAGGATCCCACATGCCGCGGAGCAGCTGGGCCTGTGAGCCATGGCCGCTGAGCCTGCGCGTCCGGAGCCTGTGCTCCACAACGGGAGAGGCCACAACAGTGAGAGGCCCGCGTACCACAAAAAAACAAACAAACAAACAAACAAAAAACTGAACTCTTAACGTCTGTGCATATCACTGTATGTAAATGTTACCTCAGGTACACATACATGCACATATATGCAAACAGTAAAACCCTATTCTGGCTCCCCACCTCCTCTCGCCATGTCCCAAAATGTAGGAATTATGGATGGATTAAAAAAAGGTTCTCAGTCCGCCTGCCGATGCAGGGGACACGGGTTCATTCCCCGGTCCGGGAAGATCCCACATGCCGTGGAGTGGCTGGGCCCGTGAGCCATGGCCGCTGAGCCTGCGCGTCTGGAGCCTGTGCTCCGCAACGGGAGAGGCCACAACAGTGAGAGGCCTGCGTACCGCAAAAAAAAAAAAAAAAAAAAAAAAAAAAAAGGTTCTCAGGTTTACTTGTCTGGAAAGATAATAAAAACACAAGCAAAAATAATTATAGTAAATAAACAATAACAATAGCAAATAATTATCTGGTGCTTATTATGTGCCAGGCACTTTTTCTACAAATTATTTACAGCATACTGCACTGAGCTTTTTCATTTACCAGTTTATCACGTAGCTATTCCCAGCAGAAGCTTTTAAAAATAACTGTAAAGCATTACCTTAATGGGATGTACTATAATTTATTTAACCTGCTCCCTATTGAAGGACATTTAGATTGTTTCCATGGTAGTGACAACTTAATTTGAAATGCACATTGTGAAACTCACATTTTATGTACATTAACTCATTTATTCCTCTCAACAACCCTATGAGGTACAACTATTATTAGCCTCATTTTACAAATGAGGAAACTGAGGCACACAGTGATTCAGTTACTTGACTGCACACTAGTAAGTGATGGAGCAGGTTGAAACCCAGGAAATCTAATTCCAAAGTCAATACTTTTCCTCACTATACTCCACTGTCTAGTCAATAAGAAGTAATTTGTATCTTGGCTGACCGTCTTAGATGTATAACAATATAATACCTACCATTTTGGAATAGCCACTATGTGCCAGGCGAGTATTATCTTTATCTCAGTGACCTTAAAAAGGTATTTTTCAGAAGAGAAGGCTAAGGCTCAGAGGTTAAGTGACTTGCTGAAGGTCATGAAACTAGCAAGTGCTGGAATGAAGATCCAGGTCTCTCTAACTCCAAAGCCCACATGCTTTATCTTGTACTTCATAATGGCTCTGTATTTCTCTTACATGCTAGGATTTTTAAAAATGACTGCTTCCTTTCCCTTTTTTGTAGGGGCTATACTCAAACCAAACATGGGCTTCTGTGGTCAGGATGGCCCTAACAACTTTTTTAATAATTTACTTTGAACGATTAAAAACATTTTTTTTGATATGCACATGCTACAAAATTTTAAATCTTTAAAATGGAGATCAATGAATTGTTGGTCTCCCTCCCACTCCTAACCACAGCCTGCATCCCAGGCCTCTTCATCCCAGGCCACCACTGGTGGTTTTTTGTTTTTGTTTTTCTAAGTACCCATTCAGAGTTAGTATATTCACATATAAGCCTATTCATACATAGCTGTACATACAACCCTTTTCCCTCCCATAAACAGTAGCATATTATTTATACCATATTGCACTGCATTTTTTCATTTACCGATTTATCACGTAGATTATTCCCATCAGAAGCTTTTTTTAATGGCTGCACAGAATTGCCTTAATTGGATGTACCATAATTTACAAACATGTTCCCTACTGATAGACAGTTAGGTTGTTTCCATGGTAGTGACAACTTAAAGGGTTCCCGCCCATCTGCAAGTACTTCTTTTCTAAACATCCTTGGCTCATTGTGTGCACAATCTTAAAGGAATGTCCCCAGACTTCCTTTGTAGTCCGCTTCACAGCCAAGTCCTTTTCATCCATCAGTGTCTCTCCTGACGCAGCTCTTTCTTCTTGTTTCCTCAGGCTACACCTCAGTTCTTCACAAGTAACCCCCCAGACTTCCCGTAGCCGCATTCCTGT